CTCTCACGGGTCACCTGGTCGCTGCGCGCGCCAACGGCATCGCCAGACCGACCGCCCGCAATTGCGATCCAGTAGCCTGACTCGCAGTACGAAATGGCGGTGATTTAAGGCACCGCCTAAGCCTAATCTTATTCTTCAGCAGCGAGCCCCGGGGCCGCCGGTGCCGTAGTCTGGAACAAATAATCAATTATCCTTTTCTCTGCCTCATCTGGAAAGCACGGATTTTCTCTCGCCGCAGCGCTCTGCAATAGGGAATTACTGGGTCAAACATGAGACGAGGTGCGCCAAAGCCTCGGGTTCGATCCGAACTCTATCGAATTAGTTCGTCTCATCGCAATCTTTCTAGATAGTATCGGGGAAAACGCTCGTGGTTTGATGCCGAGCCGCGGCCATGACTCTCGTTCATGAAGTACCCTGCCGACGTTATATAGATGGATGTTCAAGACGAAGTGGAATTACATGCCGGTGTAGCCTCTCAGTCTTCAACGCCAGTCACTCATTCGCTCCTTCACTAGTTGCTCAGATCTCTGACCTCAATCCACTCTTTCAAAACTCTTCTTCCACCAACATGAAGTTCTCACTCGTCCCCGTGGCCATCGCCCTCTTCTCCACTGCCTACGCCGCTCCCGGCGCGCCTGCCGCTGAGAACGTCGAGCTCGTCGCTCGCGGCAACTGCCCCGCGGCCCAGGACTGCACATGCACGGCGTAAGAACACCACCTCTCTCATCAACCTGGCGTTAGTATGCGAATATTGGACTGACTGTGATATTCTGGGGATATAGCAAGTTTGACAAGTACGCCAACCCTATAGAGTATGGCTCTACCGTCTCGGCCCGCATCTCTGGCGCGGACCGAGGGCTGACGACCTCGGACTGGCGCGGCACCAACGGCTACGGCAGCTCTTCTTTGTGCAGAGTCACGGTCGACCGTGTGTGCGGTAACTGCCGGGCCTGGGAGACGACGACGGACAAGTGCGGATACTACAGCCTGTCCGATTTCAGCTGTGTCAACGCTTAAACGACTACGGCTTTCATTGTATAGCGTTCTTGATGCGTAGCATTAGCATTGTATTCTCAAGCGGATTTTATTGATCAATTACGTTTCGTCCATGATACTGAGATGCGTGAACAACAAACACATGGTGCATATTATTCAACTGCAGGTTATTAACATCTGCGTGTTGGGGTGAGACCCCTTCTGTAACATCGGTTCTTACGGGGTATCGTTTTGAACCGCAGTTATGAGCCAGTAGAGTCAAGGAGAAGGCATACCCTGCGGTACTGATTGAATCGCTTCTCATTGGTAGAACTATATGTCACTGAAAGCAACGAAGAGACCGTCAGACGGGAGGATGATGACAATCGGGTTCCCATGTGTCGCAGTCTATGCCTTGGCGCTGACATTTCTCGGCTATCCTGACACCTAATTAGTGCTCTCGCAGCAGCAGCCCTGGTGGAGAGTGACCTGTCAGACATTTCTCCGCCTTCTATGCTACCATCAACGTCGCATGAGACTTGTTCGCGGAGTCAATTGACATGCAGTATGGAGTTTTGGTTGACCGTCTCGAACGAGTGGAACATTGAGGTATGCGCAGGGATGGAAGTTGATAGGGTCGCTCGTTGGGCGACTGTACGAATGTCACGGATTAGGACTAGTGCTGCCGCAGTTGCATGGGTAGCTCACTGCGTTCCAGAACATGAATTTTGGATATAAATGTAGGTGTTGAGCAGAACCTTTCCGATTTGATTCATCTAGAAAGGCAGAATCTTCTTAACACGACAAGACGTTTGCCAGATCACAAGTACTCATTGCACATCTGCATGGAATCATAATGGCACCTTCTCTTATCGATTCATATGGCTACAAGTTTCGCCAAACGGATCTTCACATGTCAGCAGAGCAGCTTGACCCGCTGAAGCATAAGTTCGATGAAGTGGGCTCAGAGGCTCTCACAGCTCTAGATGGCATGTTCCCTCCTCCGCCGCCTCGAGCTGGGTGGTACGCCAAGGGGGAGCAGGAAGACCCGCAGCCCGATCGCGATACATACGCTCTGCTTCGGGACCACCGCGAGAAGGACCCAAGACTGATGAAGCTCTGGGACGAAGTCAACGCCGTGCCTGAGTGGGTCGACTGGGACCAGATCAAGCGTGGGCAGGACGTCTTCTACCGCTACGCGCCTGCTGCAGTTACTGGGTTTGCGTTCCAGGGACTGCTTGCTACGACTGTAAGTGTGATGACAAGAAGACACGGATGTGAGAAACTCTCGGCGAAAATGCTAATGCGATCTACCAACAGGGAGCCTCGTATCGACCGGCAGAGACGTTGGTTCGTACAGGCGGTCACTCCGCCAAAGTCGCCAAGAACAGACTCTTCGAGACATTTCAGCTCCTTCTCCAGGTCACAAAATCCCTCGACGACATCAAGCCTGGAGGTGAAGGCTTCGCTTCAGCCGTGCGCGTCAGACTACTGCATGCCGCGGTGCGAGGACGAATCTTGAAGCTCAACGCACAGCGTCCCGGATACTTTGATGTCGATAAATACGGCGTCCCCATCAACGAACTTGACTCGATGCAGTCTGTATGTGCATTCTCCACCAACCTCGTGTGGTTGGCACTGCCCCGACAGGGTATCTACGTGCGCCACCAAGAAGCTCTGGACTACCTCGCTTTATGGCGATGGGTCGGCTATGTCTTGGGTACTCCCCACTGGATCTTGGAAACACCCGAACGAGCATTGGCATCTATGGAATCGCTTTTGAAGGCATGCCTTGCCCCGAGCAAGAACTCTCGAGCTTTGGCCAATAACTTGGTCATTGCTTTGGACGGCGTTGCTCCAATTTATGAGCCGAAAGAGTTCTTCGAGGCTGGGACTCGCTTCATCAACGGAGATGAGATGTGTGATGACGTCGGACTTGGAAAACCCGGTCTGTACTGGGATGCTGTCATCAGAGGTATCATCTGGACTCTGATGGTGATTACTTATATGTCGCGTTCTATCCCTGCCTGGGATAGGTGGCAAATCAAGGTAAGCACGCTCTGAAGTTGAACAGGACTACCGAATAGTTTTCACGTGCTGATCCAATGTCGTCAGACATTCCGAGCTTTATTCTGGGACTACATCGTGGAGAACAAGGACACCTTGAAGGGAGGATATAAATATGAGTTCAAGTATGTGCCGTATCACGATGCGAAGACTGGCGCCGAGACCGCAGATGGGCCGCGACCTGCGAATGGTATGGGACATTTGGAGGTATTTGGCCTCGCTGGATTTTCCATTGCTATGTTGCTTGCTACCGGGCTCTTGACTATGGTCGCTAAGCTGGGCTTGTCGTATGTGGCCAGCAACCCTTTGCAGGCAATCATTGCTGGTAGCCAATTTAGGCCTTGATCAAAGAAAAGTTGAGGCTTTCGCATGTTTGAGTCAACGAAGCATCTGACTATCCAAAATGTTTCGCAGTGAATGGCTTTGTCGCCTAATGAATGTACACTTCTCGATCTCGGCCCTCCTGGACTTCCCATCTCCCATCTTTGATCTCTCATCTCCCATCTCCCAACGCCCCCTCTCCCATGTTCTCGTATTGGGGCGATTCCGCAAGACGTAAAGGGGCAGCAGTTCTTCTTGATGATTGCCTAATGTCTCACTTATTAGGAATTTCGCGCTGTTAATGGCCTACACGTCCTGTCAATCTTAGCCCGAAGGTACTTTTGGGAGCCACCGCCATCCTGCATGCCGCCACCTAGCTCTCGAGACGTCTAGCCGCGATTACCTATATCTACATAGCCTGCATGAACCAACTTGCAGACATTTCACAACACCACCATTGAAGCCTCAACATTCTAGTGAACGCACACCATGCGGATGAATCCTACAGCCTGGGCCATAGCTATAGGCTCGCATACTGAAACGGTAAAAGCTAGCTATAATCCGCTATGGCCCCCACGTGGCGATGGAGAACTGTATGTTAGCTTACCCCGAACTTGTCGGGGCTGAGATGAAGTGCAGCTTAGTCTGACATGGAGGGTAGCTTAATCCCTGTTTTTTTTTGCGGCTAGAGGGTAATTACGGAATGAGAATGCCATAGTAAGCATGCTGTGTTTCCCACCCAGCCTGCTTGGGTCACCCTCTCTGCCTCGACGATGAAACGAGAAAGCTTGAGGCCAGCCTTGTCAATATTTTGGGAATGAGGAATCTCATAAGAGCATCAAAATAATATAAAATCCCAAGGGATTTCCTTCGTTGACCGACAACCAGTCTGCGACCTGCAAGGCTTGTTCTTACTTTTGTTGCTCTAGTGACCGCGATTCAAGCTACCTTAGTGAACCATCATGGGAGCTTCCATATCGATAGCGCAGTGTAAGAGCCATTACAACACGACTGTGGACTGCAGTGTCACCCCGAACGACTCTGGAGGATTCCAGACTATCGCTGGCTATGAGCGCGGCGAAGTCCCTCCCGAGCCGGATATCGCGGGCATTGGGGTGCGTATAGCTGCCATTCATTGTTTATTTGATGTCGAGAAGTTAAGCTGTTCTAAAGATTGTTTCCGTCTTTATCGCTGTCGCGTCTTTCGCGTTCGCCATTGGTGTCTTTGACGTCATATGGACCGTAGTAAAACATAATTCAACGACACATCAACGGTAAGACACAGCCTTCAAGAATTAAATGAGTTTCGATGTCAAGCTGATGACAAGCTGTTGAATAGGTTCAAGACTTCTGGTTTCCAAAGACCACGTTGGGCTAGCAAGTTTAGTCGATCAAAATTCTTTCAAGCTCTCGTCGTCTCTTGCAGCGACCAACAGGTCTTCACAGGCGGTGCCTACCTAGTGACCATTAGGTTTTGGAAAGGCTGTTTCATAACCGCTTACCACTACAACATTGTCGCAAACATGCTACTGCTCACTTGCGCGACGCATCTCATGTCCGTTGTGATCTCAAAGAACTACTTCGAAAGGCTCCTCCTTGCTTGTCTACGAGTCATATTTATCACAGTCGTATTCGCCATGACTGGGCTCTTACTATCCAACCAGAACGCAAGCAACAACGTACCTTTTCCAACGAAGGTGCCGCCCAGTAATGAATCAGACAGCTTGCTGTTATCTCAAGCTGTTTGCTTTCAGAATGGGGAAGACAGCATTGAACAGTTGAAGCAACTCCTGCTAGACTCAGTAGGAAATGGAACAGCGGTGGAGAGGGCATTACTACAGAGCACTCCGGGGAACTACATTCAGGGCTGGAACCTCTACCTAGTCATTCTGATTTGGTACGGTGTATCCATTCTTGCAGAGTTGGGCCGATGCTGTTATCGAAGTAGGAAAAAACATCGCGAAGCCGCCGAGAATAACGGTTGGCACAAGCGCGACAACTGTTTTGTCAAATTTTTCTCCAGTGTTGGTAGATTCTCCTACGGAGTATATCTTCTTGGCGGAATAGGCATCTGCGGAACAACAGTTGTGATGTCGAGCCTTTACATTATGAATCTGAGGCGTTGGGTGAAAAGGTCGCGATGGCTTGAGCTGGACGAAGGCGGGCAGAGTGAAGAAGACGATGCAACATCCTTTGGGCAGCTTGTGCCTATTATATTGGTGGGATTGACGGCTTTCACGTTTCTCTCAATACTGAGTGGTAAGTCCTTGTGCAGGCCTTCACATTCTTATCTATCTGTTCGATGGCTAACCCCTGACTAGAAATGTGTGCCGACAGTCGCAAGTCTTATCAATCTAAAAACGGTTACTCATCAGTGAACCAACATCGCAAAGGGAGTGGCCATCTGTGATAAGAAAATTCATTGTCGATGCACCCTCTGCTTGATTGAATAAGCGCACCTGAACGTGGGCAGTCTCTTTTGTAACTTGCCTTGCTCGTAAAACCTGGTCAGAATGCGGAATACACGTGTGCCATGGGCGATTCAAACGGGATTGATGGATACTAAACATGGAATGCCAATGTATTAAGATATCGTGGATTCGAATTGTTGCTCTACCTTATAAGGTACAATGAGCGGTCTTTTCATGTTCCCTCTTCTTCCTAACGTAGGTACAGTCTAAAGCATGCTGGGTATCACGTAGCACGTTCGTTCTATCGGTACTTCAAATCGTCTCTCTGAGCCTGTCTTGCACCGGAGTGCGCTGCGTCTAGCTCGGGCGTGTTTGATGCCGCAGCATCAAGCTCGTAAGTCGGTTGCATGGCGGAATCCATCTCTACCCGCGGCTCTGGAACTGCGAGCTCGTTCACCCCGCCACCATTCGCTCCGTATACCTGTCCATCTTTTCGTTCGTACGCCCACGCCGAAGAGCCCGCTTCCGTCGTAGGGGTCGCATCGGCTGAGCTTCTCTTCTTCCTCCGCCAGAGGAAGAAAATTCCCGCAATGATCAGAATTCCGCCAGCGACGCCTCCGACCGCAGCACCGGCTATCGCTCCGGTAGACATTGAGGTTGAATCGCCCGTACCCGACGGCGTAGAGGTGGCCGTAATCGCGGTCGTGGCGGAAGCTCCGGCAGTAGTGGTTGCGGTCGTTGATGCGGCAGTCGCAGTCGCTAACGTTGTGGCGAGTGTCGAACTCGTCGACGATGTGGAACAGGATGAAGTGCTAACTGTCGCAGCCCAGAAGATATTCGAAGCAAGTGCTGTCGCCGTCGCGGGAGTACACAGCAGGGCGATTCCGTTCGAGTTATCGCGGTATGTCCCGTTTTGCCCGGATTGGCAGCACCATCCACCATTGTCGATCTTTCCGTCGACCCCCCAGAGAGTCCAGTCTGAATTAGGGCACTATGATGAAAATGTAGGATCAGCATTACTCCCATGCTCGAGGAGCTGGATTGTAGTTGCCCTCACCTTAGGGTATTTTAACGACAAGTCCCTGCAGTCAGAAGGATCTTTTGATCTAGGATCAGGATTATGTTGATTGAAGTGTCCAAACAGCGTTTACCAACCTTCACAACAGTAGTTGCCCACGTAATCACCATCTCCAGTGCATTTGAAACCCGAGGGGCAGCATCTCGGTTGCGCTCCTGTGCCACACTCGACAGGTGCGCTCGGCGGACATGATCTATCGTTTCGAAGCGCCCATCCTCCTTCATACGCGCATTCTTGCGCGAAAGACGAATGGACCGCGATGGATGCCGCGGTCACGAAACTGCGGAGGCTGAATCGCCATCGGATCGTGTCGAAATCCATGGTTTCGAGGTACAAAAACAGGACAAGTTTGCTGGGAATTACGGTTGTCGCAGGGAGAAGGTCGTAAACAGGGTTCCCTAAATGGGACCAAGATCATTTAACATGAGCGGGAAAACTGTTCGGCTGGAAGATGGGATCCGCAACGCCGCGGGTCGAAGGGGCTTTCGTCAAAGGATTCAGCTTATGGGGACCTGAAGGGTCAGCCCTGCGGGTGGCTGCATAATTGTTGTCCTCCATACGAGACTAAGCTGGTGCAACGGGCCGCTGGTTCGTCGGTTTAGCGGGTTGGATTCTGGCATATGGCACCATTGGGTGCAAAGTCATTTCTTCTTACGCGCTGCCAAGCGTTGGCAAATGAGACCTTACTGCCTGTTTTGCCCTGTCCTCCCGGTCTAAGCCATCCCAAATGAGGGAAGTGATCACCGAATTGACCATTCAACTCGCCAAAACACAGCAAACACGACCGTCAGATTTTAGGACAGTGGAAACGGCCGCTAAGCCTGGCTGCTTAGATTTTGTGGGCATTTAACATCCAGGCTGGTTACTTTGGGGGGGTCGGCTCCGAGTTGGCTGCTTACATTTTCCGAATGAGACAGAGGCGATGACCCACTGGCTGTTCTGACACGTCTAGTGAGAACAGTGGAAGCGTCTGGCACTACGAAGTACTTGCAGCCGACAGTTTGCTGTGATAGTTGTACTGTTCGCGTTCCCAAAGTAAGTGTCTGAATTCATGTACACATGTTTTCGTGCTTCTGACGCTGGCCTACTACTCCACCTGGGCGCAGGCATACTTCAGGGGGTCGGGGGAAGACCCGCTCGACGGAAAGCCAAACGAATACCTTAACCTTGTTTTGATGGCTGGTTCGAGGCTACCTTTCTTTTCGACCTGACGTCAGTGGCTACTCGCGACCTTACTGGCAATCCTCTGCAATTATACTCGAAGCCCGAACATGACCCCGATGCGTGAGTTGGTGAGAGAAACGCGCTTGTATGATAAGACGCGTTGTGTCGAAACCCGTGCAAGAATCCTGGCAAATAGACCACCGTTCGGAGTCATGAGGCATGAAGGGTCCCAGAAAAGCTCTCGATTCAAAGAGGTTAGAAATCGTTAACCCTAAACCAAAACCATCAAGGCTCACCTTTGGTGCGGTGTGGTCAACTTACCCTGATGGATGCCATTCATGATTTGTTAAGCTTTAAGAGCCACATTTGAAGCATCCAGAGAAATGGCGGCTACCGCCAATGGTCAGTCGTTGCGAATTGTCCCTTTGAAATAGAATCGCATCCTAGAAGCCTTCGAGCCTGTAGCCGTTGAATGTAGCTTCAAGGATCCGTCATTGACAAGACAGTACTATTGCTCCGAAATTGTTCCTTTTTTTTTTTTACGTTTTACGTGACTAGAGGAAGAATATGATTGAGGCACAATCGCATGTTTTCTAGCCAGGAATCACAAGTAAGGCAAGTTGTGTGAAAAGGACATAGCGAGGAGCTATTTGCTCAAAAAAAAATACCACCCTCTCACAATTAGGTATGCAGCAACGAATCTGTTTTGCGTTGATGACAGCTGACTTTCTGTACAGACGTAGTTGTGCTCTCTTACAACAGCTTTCACCAGGCTTTTCTTCAATACACAATTGAGGTGAAGATTTTTAGAGTAGTACAAGACACGTTAGACTTTGTTGTTTGTGGAATATCCTTCACATTGAAATCACTAGTAAGGTATTCAATGTACTGTATCTATAGATAGGTTAGTTTCACGCACATCGGCGCGGTAATTTAGTAGTAATCTCGAGGAAGCCATCTTCTAGAGATTACCACGAGTCTTTTCAGAAACTCTTCCAAAGTCCACAATCACGGATATTGTGGAACCAATGCAAATAAACTAATGCTGAGAAGAAAGCTGCTAAACCCTCAACAGATGTAGCAGGGATTTCAGGCGCTTCTGGATACAGAAATCGGATTACAGGTTTCAGAAATCCTCAGCTGGACTCTGCTAGCTGAGTTGTCTTCTGAAAGTTGACCATTAATAAGACTTTGTGATAGCTCGAGTTTGTCATGACTGAATTATTTTGCGAAGCCGACTCCCACAGCAATGAAGCAGATGAAACCTCCCAAGACTTTTATGCTGACTCATGTAGATCCGTCCTCTTTTCCCAAGCCACTCAATCATCCATTCCATACTGTTGTTCCATTGCGGCCTCCACAGCTTTCAAGCATTCCTGCTTCCGATAATTTTCCAGACCCGGCCAGCCATGCTCATGATAGATGAATTGTAATTTTTCCACCAAGCCGTCCGAGCCTGGTCTGAGATACGCGTATACATCGATGACAGACAGTTGACTGGTGGGGATAAAGTTCAGTTTTCGAAATTGATCCTTGAGAACTTCGAAGAAACCATTCACGGTCCAGCGAGTGGCATCGCCACGCCAGTCGGCCTCGTTTTCTGGAGCCCACTCGTGAGGGTCGTCGAAAACTCGCAGATGGTCGTAGGAAGGATTGTCCGAGATCCCGTCTGGGCATTCTGGCCAGTATATTATGCCAAGCTCTGTATCCAAGAGGAAAACAGGATTTTCGCGGCCACCCTTTGTGAGACCAATCACGTGGGAGGGTGCGTTGTCGCAGATTTCGGAACCTTCCGACATGATTTTCAAATCCTGGCCATCCATGCCGCATTCGACACGGGCTCCTGTGTGTTGCCAATCGGCAAAACGGCACCAAGGAGCGCCCTGAGCCTGATTGAAGGGATTGCTCGGGACACGAATGTAGGGTAGATGGCGTAGAAGACATATGACCTCCTTTGATTTTCCCATGTCTTTCAAAGTTTCCGTTGTAATTGTAGGCCAACCTTCTTCTGGAGGATACAGGATGTCGTCTTCGTGGACATACATCGTACTTAAGAAGCTGTAATAGTCGCGGATTGACGCTATGCACTCTTCGCGGGAGTATTTGCATTCGGCGAGTTCGGGCATCTTTGCAGCTCTGAAAAAGATGTCGGCCCGGGGCAAGTAAATTGTGCTTGAGAGTGAGAGATGAAACTTTGGAGGCAGGCATGAGCTCGCTTAAATAATTGAAGGCATGACCTCTTAGTGGGACATCAAGTGACACCTTGGCAAGTTAGCATGATGTCAGACTTTAGTTTTCGAGTGTCACAGCTAAGTGAAGGCTCAAAGCACGGCAGAACCTTATGGTCTGACTGGCTGAGAGGAGATACACAAAGTTTACCTTCCATAACACTCCGGGGGACCGCATCAATTCTAAAAGGCTATCTTACTAGCCAACATCTGTAGCCTCCAAGGTGACGAGGGTTCGAATATTTCCTGATTCTGCGATCGGTTTATAGCCTGTAGACGAGAAGATCTAGTTAGGCAACATATAGCATCATGTTCGCTAAGGGGTGGAATTCACGCACAAGTAAATAGGTAGATCATCTGATTTATATCATGAGATCTTTCGACTCTAAGCTATCAAACCTTGCTGTAAAATGAAGCTCATATTGAACGTCTCGGAAAACCGCTCAAGGTGTTTCGTGCCATTATCCACTGATGGTCTGTAGACATCCTGTACAACGGAATGTAATGGCTTTGAAAACCATAAAATACTTACCAGGGTGCCAAGCCCCATATGCTTCAACAAACATTAACTCAAATAATTTCTCAACCACATTTGAGGTGATAACGTAGCTCTCACGGTCGTATATTCAGGTTTAAGATTCTACTTCGAACCGAAAAGGTCAGATTGCAGAACTGTTTTAAAAGGCCCAAAGGCATGAATTTCCCTGGAAACATTTCTTCATCAGGCGAAATCATTGACTGTGAGAACGAACATTGACTATGACACAGAATCTGACTATGTATTTATCACTGCCACGCACAAGCTACCTAAATACTAACACTCATGTCTCATACCAAGGCAATCGACTAACCTCTATAACCAGATCAACAATGAAACTAGTTTATTTTCTTTCGTGGATAGCAGTAGCTGCTCCGCATCCTTCGCTCGACAAGACCACACGAGTTGACGTCCTACACAATGTCACCGTCAACATCGCAGCACCACTTGGAATCGATGCTACCCCTTCTAGCCAACAAATCGAATGTCCTATACCTTGTGCTAACCACACAAACACGAACACATGGACAGAGTATGGATCGATTGACCACCTACGTCGCTGCCAGGAACCCATGCTTATTGCACCAATGTTTCCAGACGCTCTTGCCAACCTAACTTCTACCACTACCGTCTACGGCTGCTCGCTCAATTCCGGTCGTCCAGTCATAGACTGGACATCGGAGTCATTCGCGAAGAGCTCTCAGTTTAGTATTCGGCAACCAGATGGCATGTACTCCGCATCCTGTGAGTCTACCGGCCAAGAGGTCGAGAGCAAAGTCATGGTAGTTCGAGGCAACGACGGCAATGACAATTTCAGTGGGTTGGACTTTATTCTCCTAGGCCAGTCAGTAGAGCGAACGCTTGCAGATCCCTCCAACTGCCCTACGAAAACTCTCTTCGCCCAATCTAGAAGCATGATAGTGAGTATCTATAGCGGAGGCTCCTTGGCAAAGTCAACAATAACGTCTGCGTGGAATGCAATCTCGTATCTGCCAATTCTCGGCCATTCGACTCAGATGCTCGTCGAGATTTGCGATGACAGTCGAGGACCTGAAAGGATCTTAGGCATTGCAATTGACATTCTCGAAAACCGCGAGCTGGTTGAAGAGTTTACTTTGGGTTGGAGTCAAGGGAAATGTTTCGCGGGCCCAAAAAACGCAACCGTTTTGCCTGGCGTAAAGGTTCATGAGATATCTGATCCTAGCCTCAGACTTTCACGTCCTCAGCTTCCGCGTCCTCAGATTCCTCGTCCTCGGCCTTCACGTCCCCAGCCTCCGCATCCTCAGCCTTCGCGTTCTCAGCCTAAGCGTCCTGGGCCACCTCAACATCAGCCTAAGCGCCCTCGGCCGCCTCAACATCAGCCTCCGCATCCTGAGCCTACCTTCCAAAGCCGCGACCTGCAACGATGTATATCAGGCGAAGATCGCACTTTGAATACTGGCGATCTCTGCGAGTTTTCTTGCGAATACGGCTTCTGCCTAGAATCCTTGTGCGAGTGCACCGCCCGAGGTATTCCATCACAGGTTCCGCCTGAGAAAGAAGTCGATGTCGTCGCCTGGGACGATACGAACACGGATCTTAATATTCTTTGCAAGTTTGCCTGCAAGTACGGCCATTGTCCACAAGATATCTGCACGAGCCGTATCGATGGACCAGATACGAGTGACATCGACATCGTGGTAACCGACCCTGAGGACCCTCTCAACTATATCAAGCGTGTCAAGCAAAGCAATTCGAAGAATTGCAACATCTACAAAGAGCCTCAACACTGGGACTACCAAAAGAAAAGTTGCGATTCCATCTGCAAGCCAGAAACTGATCAAGCCAAGAAAGAAGGCAAAATGTCTAATGCGTTCTGCCTGGGCTTTTGGCCAATCGACAAACCTATCCCTTGGCAAAAGATCGGCCCAGATACGACAATTGCTGGAGGGAAATGCGAATGCAACAACCCTCTGGTAAACGAATTTGCAGATATCGTCTTGGATGGCATGCCACAGATGGCTCAGGTAAGCGTCACTACACCATAATCAATCGGGGCAATATGAAGTAAAGATGAAACTCACAACCAACATCACAGATCTCATGCTATATTATGATGTCAACGCTGAAACTAGTGCTGGAAATTGGTGTAGAATTTATTCCTGTGGTAGGCAAGCCAATTAGCGCTGGCCTAGGTATGCCCTTGCCCCTCTCTCATTATCTCTCTGCACCTCCCGGTGCCTTTTCCATCTCCTATTCCCCTCTTATGAATCTGAAGCTTATACATCTGGTTAGAAATCGCCAACACGGCTGCTCAAATGGCAGCATATCTTTATCCCAAGGAAGAAGACCCTGAAGGCGCTTTCTCTTGGTGGCTTCAGCCATGTGGCGGAACAAACTTGGTTCCGGAAGACATCAAAAAAGTATATGACATATTGAGCAACTCGCCTGCTGGAAGAGACCGATTCGAGAAGAAGAAGAAATCGGATAACCTCAAACAAGGTAGTGGCAAAAAGGGTGACGACAATAACCCCACTGATAGAAAGATCCAAAAGGGGCGGAAGTGCAGGGTTCCACCAGCAAAATCAACCATGCGACTTGGGGCTGCTAAAAACACATTGAGGATACAATCTTGTGTCAACGATGCGACAAGGAAAAATGATTTAGTTGTAACATCGATTGTCTACGCACCCAACGCCAAGCCGACTGTTGTGGAGAGAGAATGTAGCCAAAAATGGTCTCAAGCTTGCTTCCATTATAGTTCGGCTATCAAGGTCAATCCGCAATGGGCTACTCTAACTTGTCCGCCTGAAGCCGCGGCAACGGCGTGGCGCTTAGATGCAGAAGCTGTGCCAGCCTTTCAGAAGCAACATAAAGGTGATAGATGGCTGGATGAAGTCAAATCGAACCCTAATAAGGTAGATTGCGACAAAGACGAATACCCACCTGCATATCTTCTAGGACTACAGGACCCAGCCCGCCTCAATTCTGGTAAAAATGCACAGGGACAACTAATTCGTCTAATCCCAGGAGGAATGAATCGAGGAGCAGGACATATGTGGAAAGGAATATGTCTTGGTGCCGCCATCGAAGACATGAAGGACTCCGAATTCAAGGCCAAAGTCGATGCCGATCCCAACAGGAAGACCATCATACAAGGCGGCGTGACAAGGACTCAGGCCGCTATCACGGCTACAGTTCGGCCAGAATTTACCATTAACAAATGGGGGCATGCTGCCAACCCACCGGCGAACGATGGTCTGGAGCTCAATACTTGTTGGCCAAACAATATTGCTGCGGGCGACCCAGGCTTTGCCTTGTTAACATTTGATCCATACTACAACACCCATCCGCGACTATACAATTACAGTATACCATATGTTAAAGGTTCGAATGGTTCCTGAAACCAGTTTAGACTGATAATCTCGACATGGAAGAGCATGGGCATTGAAAAGACGAATCATTTCCTAGCACGCACATCGTATGCACGCGAGTTGGCATATTTAGTGCCTAGTTTACCTTTTGATACGAAGGGTTGGTGACTTAGTTACTTAGTTGGCCTTGTTATGGAGCAGGTTTGTCATACCAAATAGTTGTTTTGCGATTTGGAGATTGTTTCGATGCCCGATCATCTGCACCTAGTAGTTTAGATAGAGTACTAAAATTATACAAGCTCTAGGAGCTCATTTAAATTGATACAAACAACTTTTGTAAGTGATGATAAGAATGCTGATCTATTGACTACTTAATTTAGGTGCTTTCTGCAGATCACCACGATGGATAATTAACCCATTGCAAATTGGAATGTTCATTACATGTGATAGTTGCGAGAGCCGGATTAAATTGGTCGCCTCTCAGTCAGCCAGTCTTGAACCACCACTGAGCAGGAAATTATTTTGAATCCATATCATCCCATGAAGACAAGAGATGTATGGTACAACGAATCCGAATTGCACCAACAGCATTATCAATTTACCCTTGCCCTGCAGTATGCATACCTGATTTCTAGTCCTCCCAAATATACAAAACCAAGAAGCTATCATATGCGATTAGAAAAGCCAACTAATATTCTCGCAAGATCAGGGAGATGAAAAGGTTTCGTGCGAGAGTCAAGGCAGAATGGTTGATGGATCACAGGCAGTTCTCCGGCATTGCAGCTGGGTACTTAGGCATGCGAAAGATGTTGAATTGCCCACGAGAAATGTCTGTCTACGAGACCGTGATCGAATTTTCCAGAGATCTAGGCCCACTACACCGTTGACGCCTTGACGGGTAGATTTGAATAGGTGGGTAGCTAGATGCGATATCGATATTTTTGCGGATAGACACGATGCTTAAAATGGGTAGACAGGCACTTCCTTATAATAGTACCCTGCCTACGTACGGAGGACAGTATGCGCCCTATTCATTGAATGTACAAACCATTAGGCCCGTTGCAAAAATTACAGTTGTCCTCCAACGGTAGGTGGGTCAGCTGGGGAAATTTCAAAGATCTGATACTTGATAACTCCCAACACCCTATCCGAGTTCATTGAGGCTGAAGAGGGGTGAGGACGATGACAAAGTGCCGACTAGGCCTCGTCAGGGTAACCCGGCCGAGACAAGGAGGATGCGGGGTGGCCAATCCGGTTCTTTACCGCGCTGGCACCGGTGAAGTAAGTGGGTCGGGCGGATCCGGCGGACCGCGCTCGAGACACGAATAGTGCGCCTTCACACGACCCCGGCAAATTTTCCTTATCTGGCCCACGCGGAGGCAGTCCATTCGACATTCCAACTCCGTGTCAACTGTTCATGCAAAGATCAGTCTATCACATCTAACACACAAGCATTCGCTTCTTCTGCTGCCCGTTCCATTGGGATTGGTCTAGAACTTTGCCTCATTCGCTCTCCCCTTCTATCGGAGGACGGTTCAACTTTCGGGCTTTCTTGGCGCTTTGTCTTTCCCCTCTCTCTCCCTCCCTTCGTCACTCACTCACTTCAACGGGCCCGGCCGGCTCTCTCAGCCATGTCAACGAAACCCCGCCGTACCCTTGCGGGGCCAATCTTCCGCGTCCGTACGGGGTGCCTGACGTGCCGCGGTCGCAAGAAGAAGTGCGACGAGACCAAGCCGCGGTGTCGCGGTTGTGAGCGGAACCGCCTAGAGTGCCGCTGGCCCCCAACGTCCTCATCCCAGGCCACCGCCGCTGCCTCTTCCTCTCAAGCTACCCAAAGCGGCGGCACCTCGCGCTCACCCCGCGAGGTAGGAAATTCGCCAGAGAGCACGCGGCAGGACGATGTTCAGCCTACTGCTCCTTCACCATCAGGGTCCACGGTGGCATCCCAGAGTCCCCAGCATCTCCCAGATCGTTCAGTCAACTTCTCTTTTGCATCACATATCCAATCCTCGGAATCACCAAGTGCAGCCACAACAGACTCGAGTCCAAGCCCGGCAACCCAGATCGTCACGACAGATCAGAGCGGCGGAATCATCGTCCCTCCCCAGACGCCAGAAGAGCACACAGCGGCTGCCATCGGACTTCAAGACCCTTCCGCCTTTTCGGTCTTTAACACGGAGGACCCGGACGATGGCGAGACTACGGATCAGATGGTGCACTCGCCAGTTCAGCCAATGTCGATATTCAGAGATCACCATGTACCGAGGTCAATGAACCTTCTGGCCGGCAATCAGGATAGCAACTCACTCGAGCTTCTCAGTCACTACCTCAGCGCGACATCGCTCAGTATGGCCAATGGATCCACGGCAGACAACCCTTTCACCGCGCAGTTGATTCCTTTAGCATTCAGCAGCGATCTCGTCTTACAATTACTCCTTACGCAGAGTGCCGTTCACCGAGCAGCAAAGTCTTTAGTTCCGACGGACCATATTGCAACCAAATACTACAATCAGTCGCTACGACTCTTTCAGCAAAACATCTCGACGTACATGGGCGGACAGCATGGTGAAGAAACGCTGATCCTGGGCATTGGTGCCCTGATTCTGTGCTTGGTCGAGGTATGTTGTACTGTCACGCTCGGAATTGAGTTCACCGTGATATTGATACCCCTTGTAGACTGCCAAAGGTGACGTGAATGGAACCATCTTCGACCATCTCATGGCAGCCCAGTCCTTGATCTTGCCCTTCTTATCTGCGAACAACACCTTTCTACACAAGACTTTGAAAGACTTCTTGACCGAATACTACATCTACACGGCGACCGTCAGCATGATATCCATAGACGCAAGACTTGGTGATCAACTATTCCTCAGCAACGATCTCATTCTCCTCGCCACTGAGCTCGTGGCATCCTCTTACATAGGTAGTCTATGCGGATGCTGGCTAGATCTGATCCTGCTGGTGCCTTCGATCTTCGACCTGGGACGGCGGATAATGAGCCATATGGACGAGCCGGATTGGCGCCCATCAGCCGATGACTTTATTCTGTTCTCACAACTACAAAGCCAGATCCTCAACTGGCAGCCAAACCCCATGGTGACTGAGAATGTTGCCTTGGCTGGATATATATACCAGAAAGCCTTGTTGCTCTATCTGCACACGGCATTACATACACTCTCTCGAGAAGAGCACGGCCTCCAGGCAATGGCTATCCAAAACGCCCTCAGCGGAGCTCTCTCACATCTAGCACAACTAGATCCTAGCGTCCGCATAAACACTAGTCTATGCTGGCCCATCACCATTATCGGTTCGTGCGTCACAGATAAGGGACAACAAGAATTCCTGCATGAGAGGTTGGGCCATATGTTTGCCACCATTGGTCTGGGTAACATCCGACAAACTTCAGTCGTACTGCAGCACCTGTGGGACCACAACGAGGTCATTCCGGCGGATATTGTGGCAGGTCCTTGGCAGGTTTGTCGGGTCATGAACGAGAATCAGATTTGGATTTCATTTGCGTAGATGGACTGGGGACATGATTGATATGAATAGCGGCGGTGTTTAAGGGGCCAGCGAGCGTGCGAACGAACGAAAAATGGCGGCGACTGGCGGAACCAGAGAACATTTTTCGATCAACATGTGTGTACATTTATGGACGGGTCTCATCAAGAGCGGGCGAATATGATACCACGAATATTTTCTTTATAGTAAGGTATGAGGGACTAAAGCTTCTACTATTTGACTAAACTGTCAAACTTTTCACCATTACCACCCCTTCCACGGAACCCAGGTATCTACCACAACATCATTCTCATCTACAACGTAGTAAACATAAAACGCCGCAGCAGTAATGCAGGCATGCTGGACATTGAGGAACACCTTATCGCCAACATCGAAATTCGCTTCCACATCTCTGCGCTCTGGCTCAGTAGTCTTTGAGCCCGGTGCCTGAACTTCACCCAGGATACCGTGTTCCTGAGACATTCGGACAACAGCCCAGTCAGGCTTGCCGACAACCTTGCCGTAGCCTGGGTCCGGGCCAGCTTCCTTTGACAAGGCGATTGTCCCGGCGTTGATGAGAGCCTCGTTGCGCTCCGGGTACACGCTGCAGACTTCGGAGAGGACGCGGATGGCCTGGTCTTCGGCTCCAATGACGCTGGTTGCGACCTGTTGGAGATCGTTTGTTGGGAAGTTCCCTAAGAAACCCTCGTGTTAATCGTGTCTCGCCTCTGCGGTCAAGATTAGCGAGAAGTACATACCGGCGTGCAACTCCAAGGTGACGTTCTCGGGGATCGCTGCCTTAAGAGTGCCAACAACATGAGCCGTCGGTGTGGCGCCCACAGATAGGGTGAGTTTTCTGTCACCAGTAACCAGCTTCGCAGCGCTCAGGACACTGTTGATTTCGACCGTAAGGAGATCCTCCACTTCTTGTGGTGTCCGGCACCCATAAGAGTGGCCTGCATGGCAGTAGAAGCCCTTGAGAGTGACGGCTGATGAGTTGTTGACGTGTTGAATCAGCTTTGTGAGACGATCGCTGCCCAGGGGAAGACCGGCGCGCTTGCTACCCACATCGAGCTTGATGTAGATGTCCCAGGGTTTGATTGTGCTTTCCGTGTTCTTGGCGACAAACTTCTCTACGATTATGAGCTGCTTCTCATGGTCGATCATGAGCTGGACGTTGGTGGACTTTCGTAGATCTTCCAGCAGATGGATGGTGCTTGCTGGAGGCGGCAGCCCATACAGAACCTAAAAGAAAATGCCTCAGTTCTGCGAGTCCTTGTGTATCTTTACTGGCGAATCATAACAAACCTCCTCGAGAATGCCCTCTTCTGCTAATGGCAATAATCCACGGATTTCTGACAGTGTTGATGCCACAACTCTCTTGTACTTGCCATTTCCCAGCATCAACCGCGTGACTTCTAGACTCTGCGAGTCAGTTAGTCATGACCTCAAATACGTCGGAGTGGGAAATATGTCAATTTCCTACCTTGAGGGTCTTAACATGAGGTCTAAGTGTGACTCCGGCCTTCTCGACATCCTGATGCAGCCTCTCAATATTCTTCTTGATGGTTGGCAAGCTGAGAACAAAAGAGGGCGTAGGCAGGTCAGTGACCTTGGAGCCAATGAAGGAGCGGTGGTTCTGTAACGAATAATCCATGGTGCCTGTCTACAGTATGGAAGTATGCGTGCTGCAACGTTATGCTTCTAGAGAGACTGCCAGCAACTGAAGAGACAGCATGATTTTCTCCGAACCCTGCCACTTTCCCGCGGACCAGTCGGAGTCGACTTGTTGACATGGGCTACACTGTCCAGAAAGGACGCCTGAGAGAGGAGGAATCAGTGCGACCGAGATAGCCGAAAGCGGCGCTAGACAGCTGTGGGGCATCTCCCCGCTCCGGCGCCGGCAAGGATTCAGCGCGGAAAACGTCTTTATTGGCAGAGTTGCCCGTTTCCTTGTCATCGCTTATCGTCGGTTGCTCGATGACAGAGACATTGACCGGCGTTGCATCAACATATGAACCAATTAGTTGATAACTTCCCTCAAGCCACAACTTGTAACACGGTATTGTAGACACTGATTATCGTCGTCTCAGGAATCTGTGCAGCATTGTCATCAGGCAAGGTTACCATACTACTGAGATCCCTTTAGCCTACTAACTTGGCCGTGGCAACCAGATGCCTCAAAAGAAAAAAGGAACAAGTTGAAGAAACGAAAAGTTTCAACGAGGACTATTCCCTTCGCGGCTTCAGCTGAACAACAAACCGTTCGTTGTAGGCAATACCCCCGACAACCACAAACTCTCCCTCTTCCTTCATATCAAAGTCAAACTGCCGAAAAGTCTCTGGGAGCAGCTTGTACAACTCCATGATGGCAAGGTCTTTTCCCAGACAGACTCTAGGCCCAACGCCAAACACAAAAGCAGAAGCATCCATCTCGCTGATATGCTCCTTGGAATTTCCCTCGTCCTCAAGCCACCGCTCTGGTCGATATACCTCTGGGTCCGGGGCATACAGATGAGGGTCCCGTTGAACGACGTACGAATTGCTCGTGATTTCTGCGCCAGCGGGTACCCAGGTACCGTCCACGACTTTACCATCCGGGGACGGCGCCACTCTGCCGAACAAGTTCGTCGCGGGCGGGTGAAGTCTCAGAGACTCCTTGATACATGCCACAAAGTAGGGCAAGTGTGCCCTTGTCTCTTCGAATTGGATGGGTGTGCTGAGAAGTTTGGCGTCGGCGGCAGCTGCTAACTCGGCTCTTACACGTGCGAACACGGCCGGATGGGTCAGAAGGAATCGGATGGTACTGCCGAGCGCCGTTCCGGTCGTATCCGCGCCGGCTTGAATGAGCAGCGTTACGTGCGCGCGCTTCTGCATCGCCGTCAATGGCTTTCCGTCCATCCGTGCCTCGAGGCACCTATAACCAGGTTAGTATTGCGCCTTGATGACACGCAGGGGTTTGATGTGACGAACAGTTGCAAAAAGTCTGGTCTTTCCTGGGAAAAGTCCTCTTGCGACATGCGCTGCTCCCGACCAGAGACCTCCCTGTCTGCTTGCCTCATCAAGTATCCCATGCCGTTGTCATCGCTTGTCTCTGGTAGAAAATATTTACCCAGCGAGCCTTTCAGAATCACATCCCGAAAGAAGCGGAAACGACCTGCAAACCCGAAGAAGACTAATCCCTCTCGCCAACTTTTGAGCATGTTGCGCTCGTCACGACTGTTGTCGACGAAGCCCCAGGGGTTGGTGAAACAGACTAGCGTCATGATATCGGCCGCGAACTCTCTTAGATGAGGTTAGCCTTGTCACAAGGTTTTTTGCATCTTTGCTAAGAGCATGTCAATACTCACGCTACTTTGTCGGAGAGAATAACTGCCTGATTTTTCTCGGCAAATTCGGCCATCCGTTGCACAAAAAGTTGAATGTGTGCGTCTATTCGTGGTTCCCAATTGTTCTTCAATCCACCTACGGACCACTGGACAGTTCAGTATTAGTCAAAGGCGCGCCGAGGATGCAACTAACAGCGTAGAACTGTTGCAGAGACATACCGATGGACCGCCGAGGGCTTTTCTCAAGGACTTATGCACACTCCCATCAATGGTCGAGAATAGGTGCGGTGGGCCAAGTGCACCGGAACCGTAAAGGGAAGCTTTGTTATTGCATTTCGAATCCCAGTAGATATCCTTGACAGCCTTGGATTGAGGAAAAAGCAGAAGCGATGGTGCTATGCGGATAGGCTTCTCAACTTCGCCGATCAGTTAGTACTAGTCTATCACTTTCCAAAAGATTGGACGGGACACTAGCTAGTGAATCTCGTGGTAATCTCAGATGAAAGAACAAGACGGGCAACAACTCACATCCATATTTTTTGGCCAGGTACAGCAACCAATGTGGCTCAAGCCCAAATACAGATATGACAGCGGAGCAAAGTGAGAATGAAGCCGCATACCATGGGCCATGATAGTTGGATAAGGGGTGTAAGTACAAATTATAGAAGATTCGTAAAATTAGTGTCGAAATTGTCGCGATAGACAAAAAAGCCCCGGTCGAGGCTAGCGAAAGCTCTGGCGCATCAAGTAGCACCATAGTCACGGGGGGTTTGGTGAGAAGGTTCGATAAGATGTTGTGCATGCTTGTTACCATAGACTCAAATAGGCACGTGGGATATATATACAAATATTCTATAACAGCCAGATTTGCAGATCTCTTTCATTTTCCTCTACCTCAGTCATGAGCTGTCTTAGAGCAAGATCATATGCTTTCATATCATAGCCACCTCATTCGTCTCATTTGTCTGGCCTGATATGCAGCAAGTTCCCAGTCCTACTCTGACTGCTGTCTTATACCCATTGTACAACATGCCCCTCATCGATGGCCTATCGGCAACGTGTGATCAGCCCTTGAATGCTGCTTTGAGTAGGACGGATAAGTATAGTGCTGATTATGAACAGTGCTGCATGGATGATGCAACCCTGCATCGGTTGTTGGCTGGAGCCAACCTCTATTGAACCTGCAGACGTGCCGAGCCGGGCAAAAGATCCATCGTTCAAGCGCAACTTGCCGGGTCCCGCGTCTAGGCGCCAAAAAACCTAAGGCGCATGTGCGTTGGCAGCTCAAATTATGGTGTGTTCATGTGCGCTGTGAGACATACATGTTGACCGAGATGGAGAGCAGTGCCATGCCTGATATTTTGACTTCCTTCCATTTCCATATGTGAGCGTATTCAGCGAGGAAATGAACATGTCGATCAAATCATGCTCGAGGTATTCCGCGGACAACAGGACACAGACTGATTAGTCACGCCGTTTCCGACGCCGGAGATCCACCCCGAATCGTCTTATCTCGCTCTGGGGTTGCCGACCCCGCAGCCGATCTTATGCGGGATCTTGGAGTCCCGTGTTCACTTCATCTTTGGCATTGAGAACCTGTTCACGTCATGTAATCTCATCTCAACAACCCAAAATCGTCGCCAAAATGTACACTGTCAATGTGGGAGACGGGCTAGACAGCCTAGACACACCTTCCATGATCGTGGATCTCGACCTCATGGAAGCAAACATCAAGAAGCTATTCGACAGCCTACTTCCCACCGGAGTCAACATCCGCCCTCACCTCAAGACAACAAAGAGCGCAGCTCTTGCCGGCAAGCTTGCTGCTGCCGGTGCCAAAGGCTGCTGTGTGGCCAAAGTGTCAGAAGCAGAAGCCATCACGGCGGCGGGCTTCGACGACATCCTCATTACGTGCGAAATCATTGGCAAACCGAAAGTGAAGCGTCTTGTTGAACTTTTTAAGAAAAACAAGAAAATTAAGATGGTCATCGATAGCGAAGTTGGTGCAACGGCAATCAACGACGCGTTGGAGGAGGCCGGTGTCGAGGAGCCTATTCTCACACTGATTGACTTGGATGTTGGACTGCATCGGACTGGCGTGGCCGCAGGCGAGCCTGCCTTGGCTCTGGCGAGACACATTGGAAATCTCAAGCATCTCAACCTGATTGGTGTACAGGGATACGAGGGCCACCTGCAGCACCTCCACGACCGGGAGGACCGAAAGAGGCAGTGCCTCGAGTCCATGAAGACGCTGACCGAGACGGCAGAAGCGCTTCGGAAAGCAGGTTTCGGCATCGAGGTGGTCACAACCGGCGGCACAGGCACCGCTGAATTCTGCGTTACGGTTCCAGGAGTCACGGAATTGCAGCCGGGATCCTTCATCTTCATGGATACGGACTACCGCAACGCCGTCGGCTCGTTCTACTCCAATAGCTTAACGCTGTTAGCGACCGTTGTCAGCAAGCAGGGCGAGCGGCAAGTAACGATTGATACGGGGCTGAAGTCGTTGACGACGGACAGCGGACTTGCTGAATGCAAAGACCGACGCTATACCCACGCCAACCTGGGAGACGAGCATGGTTCGCTTAGTTGGGAGGAGGAAACTCCCGCCTTGGCGGTGGGAGATCGGGTTGAAATGGTTCCCAGTCACATTGATCCAACGATTAACCTGCACGACTGGTATTACGCCCATCGTAATGGGGTTATCGAAGAAATCTGGTCGGTTGACTCCAGAGGGAAGGTGCAATAGTTTGCGGTCGGCTTCACGCCTCAACTAGCGCCTTGAACCAAGCACGTCTGAATGATGCAAAACATGATGGGTTAGGGGTATTATGGACATGTACATAGGATATGAGATCTGATACATAATGCCCTTGAAAAAATGAACTGAACCATATCAGGTCGAGTATACGTCTAGGCCTTGCATCTAAATCTTGGCTTTCGAGTGACTCCTTTCTTTCAAGTTCCTCTCAGCGGGCAAAACCATGTTCACATGAGTACTCAGAGCGACAACATCTCCACCCTGATCTAGAACAATAACCTCAAGATCTAGTCTGCCATTTCGGATGACCTTTGCCATTGTCCGAAGGAAGAGCCACTCGGCTCCCTCCTCCGGCAAAGCCTTCTTCACGTCCAGATTCAGAGCAAGGGTAGGGTACCAAAACATCTCATTCGACCGAAAAGGTGTCTGTTCCTCGTCGCGCTTCGGTCTCCATGCCTCTATTACTGTCGGATACGCGTCCACAACATAACCGAGCGATGCATTCGTAAACCTCTGGCCGTCTTTCAGCCGCAACCAGAGATCGACGATTCCACGGCGTGAGTCCTCGCGCGGAACGTAGTACTCGAGATTGTTGTGAGCGCGGGCGTAGGACGTCGCGCGAGCATTCAGCTTTAGCTTGCGCACCCAGTGGGGGTCCTTATCCTGACCGAGGAGGGAGAGATTGGCGGTCTTGGCTGGCGGAGTCATTGCCCAGCCACTCTCTAGCGTCAGGCCCTTCTCGACAGTTAAGCGCGTATTGATCAAGTAGGCGACGACCTCTTTTCTGGAAGACGGCGTAAACCAGGGAGCTGATGATTGGAGATCATGTTGATAGAGGGAGACGTGCAACGTTGAAAGATTGCGGCCGAGCTTGACTTCATCGACGATGAGAATTGCAGGACCAATCTCCGTGCGATTGACGTACTCGAAATGCGCCGAGATTGAGTCGGGTTGTCCGCGTGCTGTAAGGTGCTGCGATGCCGCACGGAGAATCACCGATGCGACGTAACCGCCATTCGGAACTGCGCGCTGTCAATTATGAGCCCAATGGGCGTAGAGAAAAAGCGACTGACCTGAGCCGGTGCACCAGCTGGGAACCAAGTTTGCTCCGTACACATTGGGACCGAGTTTTGTTATCGTCGTAGCACTTGAGAATGTTACAAGCTCCTCAGACGTCATGATATCGACAGGATCCCGCTGATTTCAAGGGTCAAAGTCTCGTCCTCTTCGCCAAGAGGCTCGATTACAGGGATGCTGATTAGCCTTTGTAGCACCACCGGTCATTAAGTCGATAAGGCCGTTCAATAGATGGAGGATTTATCTGAGTTTTGGATCAGTAATACACGAAAAGAACTTGGATGAAGCTGAACTATCGTCGAGTCGCTGGAACCCGGGGAAGCTTCTGGGGTATCGACAATGTGGGTCCGGTTCTCGAACGCTTGTTGGCTCTCACTTTGTCCATCTCCAAGATCAGAGAGGGCGGGCGGAGTTCAAACCGAACCCGTTCCTGAGTGAGCCTCGGCTTTGAACATGTCACCTGACTCAAGCCCACAATCTGGACAACGCTCCAGGAGCTTGGGCGTCCGGCCACTTCTAAACATCAATTGCTTTTGCCTCGGTAAGTGGAACTGTGGGAGCCGTCAGCGCACGCCGCCAAGCTCACTTTTGAGTATTTAGCGTGAGTGAGATGAGTCTCACTCTCACCCTCAGTGGCTCACACTCGTAACTGAAAGCCCCCTAAGAAGCCCACACAGGGCGGCGCCATGAGTCCATGACTGGTGTGAGATTTGAGGCGCCACACAACGCGCAATGCGATCCTCCCAGGCACGCCAGATTAGAGTAACGGATCCTCCGTGGACTATGCCCAACGCCGGCCGTCGTACGGTTTTCAGGCTTCTGCTCCGATGCGAGTCCCAACAGTTAGGTTCCTGGGTCCACGGCGCGCCCCAACAACGGCGTGGCCACAGGACGCCTACCGAGTCTCCGGGCCTTTGATAAGATTTTATCGCCGAGATGAGATCAGTCATCAGAAAATGGATCTGACGTTCAAAATATGAACGCTGATGCTCCCTCCTCGCGAATGTACAGCTGATGCCCAGATCCTTTGCTCAACTTTTCTCACCAAAGCTTACGTCTGCTCGTTTATTATCTCACTCTTAGTTCATCTCATTGCTCGTGGTGCACGCCCCAAGAAGCCCTCAAAATGGCACCGAAATCAGACCCGTTCCCAGGCTTCACGGCCATCACCGACCAGATTTTCTTTCGCGAAGGTGAACCAGTAACAGAGGGCACGCAGCCATCAGCAGATCACCCAAGGGTCGTCATCATTTACAGCTGGGGCGACGCCATACCAAAACACGTCTCCAAATACGCCGATGGATTCCGCACACTCTTTCCGCACGCAAAACAGATCGCCGTGCTCTCGCCCATCGTCAAAGCCATGAGAGAGGACCTTCAGACCCGCTCCAACAACATGAAGCCCATCATCGAAGCCGCCTATCCCTCGACAACGTCCGGAACACCAGACCCCAACGAAGATGCGGTCCTCATGCATGTCATGTCCAACACGGGCGGCATCAACTACGCTGGAACGCTGCACGCCTACCAAGAGAGATTCGGTCGCCCCATGCCGCATCGCCTGTCTAGCTACGACTCGACGCCCGGCAGCGTGATCATGACCTGGAACAACCTCAAGCGCTGGTCTCTGGCCATGACCCTTGGCACCGCTGGTTGGTTTCCCTGGCCGTTCGTTGTGACACAGTGCATCATGGGCGTCTTCCTCCTTCTGAATCACAGCTTCGAGCACCTCACCGGCCGGGAAAGCGCGCCTGTCTTCAGCGTCGCGGCCATTGGCGACACGAAGTATGTTTCCAAGGGATCCCGCAAACTGTATCTGTATAGCAAGGAGGATCCGCTCATTGGCTGGGAGGATATCGAGGAGAATATGGCCGAGTCGAAGGGCAAGGGCTACGCCTATGATGCGGTGCGTTTCGATGGCAGTGGCCATGTTGGGCATATGCGGATGCATCCTGACCAGTACTGGAACGCTATTGCATCGGCTTGGAAAGAAACGTGAAGTTCCTGAAGGATCTGTAATGAAGGACATATGGTTGGAACTGGTCTTGAGGCGTGTTGTTCCTCCACGCCATGTTGTCAAATGCACGGTGGGCTCAATTGACCAGGACGAGAGGATATTTCGTCGTGTGCTAAAAGACTCTGCCCGGGCGCGGAAAGAATAGACTTATGATAATAATGAGAATAGATTAAGCAATGATGAGCGGTCACGCCGGGTATGACGTCAATATTTCTTCACTCCATTCTCAACTTATTTACACATGTCGACTTACAGCTTCTTTCCCCTTTTACCCAAGACAGGTCTGTGACCGAGTATCACAGCTTACCCTACAGATATTCACCAACAAACATACCCAAAGAAGGGATCCACGCTCGAACACACGATCATGGGCTCCAAAGCCAGCCTGGCGCCCTTGGCATCACTGCGCGTGTCCAAGCACCTCATCCCGGCACATGGACTGTTCCCAAACACAAGCATCCAAAACAAACCCCTATTGATCTATCACTCCGCCTTTTCGTCAACGAGTGTATCAGCCATCGAATCTCGCCTTACCTCCCTTGGTGTCGTCGAGCCGCAATGGCGATATACCATGTACAGCACGAGTCACTTTCACAGTACAACACACGAAGTTCTGAGCATTAGCCATGGGCGCGCTAAGCTTTGTTTTGGGGGCGAAGATAATGAAGGCCGGATCGAGCCTGTAGTTGAGAAGGGCGATGTCATCATTGTACCGGCCGGCGTTTCTCACCGCTTGCTGGATGATTTTGGCAGCGGATTCGAGATGGTCGGAAGTTATCCCAAAGGCTGCCACTGGGATATGTGCTACGGCAAAAGGGGCGAAGAAGGAAAGATTGATGCCATTGCTGAGGTACCGTGGTTTAACAGAGATCCGATATATGGAGATCATGGGCCAGCAGTAGAGGTTTGATATCTTGTGACAATTTGACAGCCGTATACCTGCGAATATCAACAGCATTATTGGCACATGCATGATCCCAACAAGTTCCAGAACATGACGCGCAACACAAGGTCTTGATGCTAAAGTTACTACCGACAGCAGAATCCGAAATGTGACAAGTATCAGAAGAATAACCCGAACTCCGCTCAGTATGCAGGATGCAGAATATTTGACGCCAAAAGAACACGGGTTAACCACATCGACATAGACATTCCGCACCGTCATGGCATCATGCTCTCATAACCCATTACAAACATTCAAACAATGACACCGCATGATGAACATGACCCATAGACATCACATCACCATTCTCTGATCGGCCGTATAAAGCATTCTGCTCTCACTTCCGTATTACAGACCAAACACCGACGAGGCCAGCGACCGGCCACGTGATCGCCAGCCTGTCTTTCAATGACTTTCTCCTCCGTTCCTTGCTCACATCAACCGTAATCTTGTCATAAACCGTCGGTAAACTCGTCGCGCTGTACCGATCTCGCAGTTTTGTATACCAATCTTTATCGTACACGTCCCAGAATTGCGACTCGGTGTAGTACGCGTGAGAGTATAACACCTTGCGCCCGCCTAGCTCCATGACCTTCGCCTCGAGATCTCGGTTCTGACGGACGAACCTATCAATCTTCTTTGACGATGCTCCCCACACACCCACATTGAGCATCGGTTGCGGCGTCTCTCCTCCAGGCTCCATCGTGTAGGGGTGGAAGCCGACGGTTTCAGTGGCACGCAGGGGGCACAGCCAGAGTGGCCATATTTCGAGGTTGTCTGCCACGTAGTCGATGAATTCCTGGACTGTGGTGTATGGAAGCGAGAGGTCGTGAACGGTGTATTTGAATGTCATTCGGCTGTTGCCGCTTAGGCCGGCTTTGTATAGTGTCCTTGTGTCCATGAGTCGATTCAGAGCCCGGCGAGTGAGTCGATTGAAAGGGACAAAGCCAAAATATTTGAAGGCCAACTCGCCCATCCAGAATGCACCCCGGTCGTACCGAAATAAGTAATCCTGCAGCGGTACATAATCCGGCGTCGGTGTGCCATTCGCGATTCGCTTCCGTGCATGCAGATAGAACCAAGGATCCTTGGATCTGCTGAATGTCTGTGGCTGGCATTTTTCGGGCAGATCATCCGTCATATGACCCGTAACAACAGCGGCGCTCGTCCTCGAAAAGACCAGTCCTTCGACGTAGTCATTGTGCGCCAGATTCGTCTCCCGTTGTATCGCAGCAACGGCTTCCGGAATTGTCGAGTACGAGTGATAGCTGAGCTTGACGAATTGCTTGGCCTTCAGCAACCGCAGCTCCAGTTTTGTGACGATACCAAGGGTCCCCAGCGCCCCTGCCGCACCCTTGAAGAGATCTGGATTCTCGGTCTGGGAGGCATTGACGACCTCCCCACTCGCGAGAATCATTTCTACAGACTGCACCGTCTGGTCAAAATACCCGTAGCGAAAGGAGCTGCTCTCTCCGGCTGACCCGGCGAAGCCGCCGCCGACAGTGATGCCCGGAAACTCCATAACGACAGGTGGGACAAACCCGCACCGATAGGTGGCCGCAACGAGCTGGTCCATGGGGACATTGGGCTCGACTACGGCGACGGCGGCCGCAGTGTCGATGTGTAGAACATGATGCAGCTCGCTGATGTCGACGACGCGCTGGTGGTGGGCGGGCCGGGTGCTGCTAGTGGAACCGTGAAAGATGCGGAAAGGTTCCCGGCGCGAGTGGAAGTCCCTTACGACCTCAGCGATGCGCTTGACAGCTGCGTTATGGTCGTCCATTTGAGTGTGGCCCGGAGCTGGCAGCTAAGAAAGCTGCAGAACGGAAAGTCTGCTGAAGACAAACCTCGAAGCTGCGATCCGACGACAGCTTGGAGATCTGGGGTTCCGGAGAACGGAAAGTCAATTGTCAAGATGTCATTGAGAACGGACGGATGCAACGCTGTGCGGCTAAGGCAAGTTGTAACGGGGATTGTCAGAAGTTGGCTTGACCCACTCCGGACAGCTGGATACACCGTCATTGGGCCTTTTCCACGATGCATTGACGATGACTAAGACAGGGATTTCTTTATTATGAGCGCTAGGATCCGTGACTGACTGACAATCTTAACCCTGCATGATGTTGTAGATTGGACTGAGATCACTGACTCCTTTTGTGGGTTACTGCTGATATCTGTCGTCATTGAAGCTAGTATGTAGTCTCTATATATCGTTTCCATATCGAAAGTCTTCTTTTCTCGCAACGAATATATCACTTGCCCTCGGCGTCTTTCTTTTCGTCACCCTCCCCAGAAATCTTCTTTAGTCCAACACCAGCAACGCCAATGACACTCGCCGCGGCCATGACAGCAGCAACTATGAATGTCCTGGTGATGGCATGATTATATACCTGTAGCAGTGTACCAAATTGGTCCGGAGATACCAAGTCTCTAAGTTGAGTTGCACCCGAGTTTCTAATTGCTTCGGGATCTACCCCTGGGACATTGGAGATTATTCCCGACGTTAACGTGCTTGCGAACACGGCCTGGGCAACTGTGATGGCAGTAGTAGGACCGAAGCATTGGAAGAATAGTACCACCGCCACTCCTATGGCAACGTCGGCCTCTTCCAGACTGCTCTGGACAGCGACCGCTGCTTGCTGTGTCGATGCCCCAATACCAAGCCCGGCGATGACTTGAAAGGGAATCCAGAGGTTCGCGCCTGAAGATACCTTGAGCGTCGAGAGAAGACCGGCGCCAATAGAGACAAGAATGGTACCAGCGAGCATGAAAGGCTGGTAATAACCCGTCTTTGTGACACCCCAGCCGCTGAGGAAAATGGTGAGGATAAATGCTAGACACAAGGCCAGGTATCGAACACCAGACTCCTCAGGCGTGGCACCCTGAATGGCTTGAAACCAGAGAGGCACCTATAAGAGATGTTAGCTTGTGTTCTGTGCTGAACAGTATTGTCTAAAAAATTGGGTATCATACGTAGTAAACGAGAGTAAAAAAGGCACTGTCCAAGCAAAAGCCGAAAAAGGCCCCAAAGATAATCACACGCGTCTTAGCTAGGCGCGGCGGCACCAGCGCCTTTTCGCCCATCCACCACTGTTCGGCCACGAAGCCGATGACGAGGACGCCGGCGACGACAAAGCATGCAATGGTTCGTTTGTCATCCCACGCGAAAAGCGCGCCTCCGAATTGGAGGGCCAGGAGAAATGAGGTGATCCCTGGCAGTAAGAGGAGCATGCCAAGATAATCCAAGCCCCGGATTTTCTGCAGCCAAGGCCGCCGCTGCTCCTCGGTTGGTGGGGACGACTTGACCAGAAACAACGTCGCGAGAGCAGGTGGTGCGGCGATTGGAAGGTTGATGTAGAAACACCTGATAACGATTTGATATTAGCAAAATAGATGTTGCATGGCGAGCAGATTCAAGCAACGGGATACCACTTACCATCTCCACGTGAGGTAACTGTTCGTGATAACGCCGCCTACCACCGGCCCGAGAACAGCTGCAACACCATAGACCATACCTATGGCACCTACGTACATCGGCAGATGTTTTGCAGGAAGGGCAGCTGAGATGAGTACCAAGCAGCCGCTTTGGAGGCCAGATGCACCGAGGCCGGCGACGGCGCGTCCGACGATGAAGACTGCTGAGCTCGGGCTCACCGCGCATATGAGGGACCCAATTTCGAAGATGACGAGAGAGATCACGAAAATGATCTTGACATTGAACTGGTTGTACAGGCGCCCGAAGATGAGTTGGAATGCGCAAAGAGTCATTTGATATGCTGAGCCGTACCACTATAAGCTTATTAGCCGTAGTTCGCTGGATTGGAGTCTGTTCATGGAATGCAATGCGACTTACACCAACGTCTGTGAGAGATCCAAACTCATCAGTGATGCGCGGAATGGCTGTCGCAATGATGCCTTCATCGAGGAAAGTACACAAAACACCAAGTGCAATGGCCAGCCAAATGACGAATATCTTCCATCCCGGAAGGCTCTCGCTTTCGTTAGTGTTCGACTCTTCAGAGTGGGATTCATCAGACTGAGTGCTGCTGTCGAGCACATTGCCCTTTTCCTGCTGGGCATCCATATTAACACCGGCTGTCTCAAGAGCAGGCGATTGTTCAGAAACCATGGGGAAAATCTGAAAAGTTCTACGATTCAAAAGATGGTAGAGGATCCCAGCATAAGCAGATGCAATGGGACCGCCTGGGTGTTCCCTCAGTCGTAATCACTTTTCCAGAGCAGCGAGTTCTGAAGTGCCTTGGTTCCATTTCGAGAATAGCACGGCGGAACCTCAGTAGAAGCCTTGCCCCGCTGCACCGGCTGACCGCCATGAGAGGATTCAAGCCTAGACATGGATCCCATCACACTGCCCCCAACCCGCATCTGGAAGGCCAAAACGAACCTCATGGGTAGATGTTGTGGATGTCTGAGGGGTAAGACAAAGCTCGACATTTCTCATGTTCGAAAAATCACGATATCGGCCACCGGGGCGACTCCGCCGCTGCCTTATCGCTGACCACCCCCAGCAAAATGGCGACCACCCCTCTCTCTCAATGGGGCCGAAGGATTCGTGACTGGGCTACTAATCACCAGCCTCCAGGCACCTGCATCAAGAATCGTTCTTTCAAGCATTTTTCGTCAAGGAGAGTGAGGTCGATTATTGGTTCCCGAGGCACGGAAAGAATCTATGCGAACTGGGAAACCCGGAGACCCGCATATGAACCCATGCAAGGCACAGTATGCAACCACTTTAGAATGCATGCACTACAAAAGAACCGATGGGGGTCAATAGGATTTCCAGCCTTTCGGGGTGGCGAGGCATCACCGCATCGCTGACGAATGAGTGGGATCACCCACCCAATAGTTGGAATTATGTCGCCAAACCAGTTAGCCTTTTGCTCGATATTACCTGAGACTTTAGCATTTTGAGCCTTGACAGAGACATATGATTCAGGGTAGAGAGTCGA